TGCTGCCCTCGCGCCCGCGCGCGGAGCGAGTGGCGCGGCTCGTGCAGCACGAGAACGCCTCGTGGGACGACGCCTCGGACCTGGCGCTGCTGCAGCTGCGCGCGCCCGTAAACCTGAGCGCGGCCCCGCGGCCCGTGTGCCTACCCCACCTGGAACACTATTTCCTGCCCGGGAGTCGCTGCCGTCTGGCTCGCTGGGGCAACGGGGGTAAGCCGGGGCCTGGCTCTGGGTGGTGCGGGACCAAGCTGGGGCCTCCTGGGTCACCATGCTGGCTCTCTGTTTTCCCCGCCCCCGTCCGCAGAACCTGCGCCTGGCCCCAGCGCGCTGCTCGAGGCGGAGCTTTTGGGAGGCTGGTGGTGTCACTGCCTTTATGGCCGCCAGGGGACGCCAGTGCCGCTCCCGGGAGACCCGCCGGACGCTCTCTGCCCCGCCTACCAGGAGGAGGAGGAGGCGGGCCACTGCTGGGTGAGAAGCCGAGGTGGAGCCTGCAGAAGCGGGCTTGGGTGTGACCTGAGGGAGGCCAAGGTAGGCGGAGGGAGCCGGGGAACTGGGAGAGGAGGTGCGCTCCCAGCCCGGAGACAGTGGAGGCGGGGCCAGAACGAGTTGGGGGCGGAGCCTGGCCTTGGTGGACTTGAGGCAGACTCTGGGCAGGTTTGGGGGTTTCACTCTATCCCCAGATTTAAGGAAAATCGTAAATTGAGGGGTGAATTTGTTTTCTTACACAAATTAGTACTAGCGCCTGGCTTGGAGGCGGTGGTACCTTATGTCCGAGTGGGGGCAAATCTGGAGTTCTGGAAAATCCCAGGAGCGGTGATATTCACAGCAAGCACACACACTTTTTTGCCACAGAATGACTCACGTTGGAGCCTTCTGTGCCGAGAAGAGGGGACCTGGTTCCTAGCTGGGATCAAAGACTTCTCTAGTGACTGTCTACGTCCCCGAGCCTTCTTCCCCCTGCAGACCCATGGCCCATGGATCAGCCATGTGACTCGGGGAGCTTATCTGGAGGACCAGCTCGCCTGGGACTGGGGCCTTGAAGGGGAGGAAACTGAGACACAAATTTGTCCTCCCCACACAGAGCATGGAGGTAAGCCGGAGGTCTCTAGGGCTCAGGATCTCCTGGGGGGTGGGTACATAGATCCACGGCAGGGGCTTTAGGAGTCAGCTGTGGGGCCTCAACTGAGGTGACCTCTTTCTCTCCCTAGCCTGTGGCCTGCGGCCAGAGGCTGCTTCAGTGGGGGTCCTGTGGCCCTGGTTGGCAGAGGTGCATGTGGCTGGTGGTCGAGTCTGCACTGGGATCCTTGTGGCCCCAGGCTGGGTCCTAGCAGCCACTCACTGTGTCCTCAGGTGGGTCTCACTTATCTCTAAGGCAAGAGACTACAGGGGAAAATGAGGAGATGAATCCAAGGGCTCCACAATAGTGGGTATTCTCCCATTGGGGATCATACAGAACAGGGAAATTTGTGAGATGTTTTGAGACAGAAGAGAGATTTAGGAGGAATGATGAAGAATTAGTAGCATGACTCTAGAAAATTACCCATTTCCCTGGGCTGGGAAGGACTCTATAAAGCAATAGGGGAACAGAAAGTGACTTTGGACCTTGTTCCAATAGGCTGGGCTCTACAACAGTGCCTTACATTGAAGTGTATCTGGGCCGGACAGGGGCCAGCCCCCTCCCACAGGGCCACCAAGTATCCCGGTTGGTCATCAGTATCCGCCTGCCCCGGCACCTGGGACTTAGGCCTCCCCTGGCTCTCCTGGAGCTGAGTTCCAGGGTCGAACCCTCCCCATCAGCCCTGCCCATCTGCCTTCACCCATGGGGTATCCCCCCAGGAGCCAGCTGTTGGGTGCTGGGCTGGAAGGACCCCCAGGACCGAGGTGAGAGTCCTGGGTCATGGGAGTGTGGAGTAACTGTAAGCCAGAACCATGAGACAACATTCTTTCCTCTCTGTAGTCCCTGTGGCTGCTGCGGTCTCCATCCTGACATCTCGACTCTGTCACTGCCTCTATCAGGGCATTCTGCCTGCTGGTACCTTCTGTGTCCTGTATGCAGAAGGGCAGGAGGACAGGTGTGAGGTACAGGCATCCTGAGAATCTAGATCCAGGGATAGGGGAAACTGTGCTGGGCAGCTGGGCCCTAGAGAGAGACCAAGATTGGAATTCCTAAGTGTTGGGCCCCAAATGGGAAGCAGTGCTTGCTGGCTGGACCTTGGAGAGTGACCAGGATGCTTAAGGATGGAAACAAGCAGTGCTTTGTGGCTGAACCATAGGGGAAGGTTCAGGAGAACAGGAGGAAGGGTAACACACTCATTTGGTCTGGGCTTTGACTCTGCAGGTGACTTCAGCCCCTCCCCTCCTGTGCCAGACTGAGGGAGGCCCCTGGGTCCTCATGGGCATGGCTGTTCGAGGGAGTCGGGAGCTATTTGCAGCTATTGGCCCTGAAGAAGCCTGGATCTCCCAAACAGTGGAGGAGGCTCACTTCCTGGCCCCTAGTGGCACCCCCTACTGGCCCCCTGAAGGCAGCAACCTCTGCCCCCCAGACTTGGCAAGGGCCTCAGGCTCCCCTCAGGCTGCTCTGTTCTTGCTGCTACTGACACCCCTAATCCAGAGCTGAGGGGTCTGGGTCCTAGTGGCACTTCCTCCTCTGCCCTCCACTTCCTCCCCAATGGGGCTGGAATGTGACCTAACCAGCTGGTTCCCTTGAAGAACCTCCAGAGAGTCCCACCCACCAAGACTGCAGCGGCTTCAGATAATTGGCCTATTTTGGGCCCAGGAATCCTTGGGGGTGGTGGGAGGAGCAGACAATAAAGGTGTAAACGCAGACACCTGTGTGGGCTTGTGTCATTGCTGGAAGCAGGTTGAGGGACTGAAGGCATGGGAGGCTGAGGGGGGAAACCTGGAGGGGTAGGGCCCCTCCCTTTTCTGTGAGTCAGGCCTTGAGCTCTCAGGAAATGTGTCCCTGAACGTGGTGGCTATTCCAGCATTCCTGCCCCAGGGCAGGGAGGCTGGGTGGCCAGCTGGTTATGTGTCACCTTCCCAGTTGAATCAGTGTCACCAGCACCTGCTGGACACTTCAGCTCTAACTCAGACCCTGGGGCCCACCCCCCTACATCAGTGAGAAATACAGGGTGAGAGGCTGAGCTGTCTCACATATACACCCCCTGATGATGTCCCCCAAATGTCACTAGCATGCACACATGACACTTGGACCCTTCCAGGAGGGTCCAGCACTTCTGAATCCTGCCTAGTGCCTCCAGACCTTGGGTCCCTTATATGTAGGGGGCTCATTCATGCTTCTCCCTGCACACATTCAACCCATATTCCCTGTTAACTACGAAGTCATGACACAATTAGGTTCTGATAGGTAATAAGCCTACAAAGTGCACCCAGTCTAGTGGGGGACACATGCACATCTATGTCTGGGGATCTGGAAAGAGTCATAGAGAAAGTGATGTTTAAGCAGGGAAAAAGGGAAAATGGGAACCTAAGGGAGAGGGGTGTTTGGATGAAAGCCAGCTAATAAGGGTGGCAGAGTGATTTCTTCTGGGTTATGTAAGCAGAGGATGGGAGAAGAGGTCCTAGATGGGAAGCTGGAAGTTACCACTGGGAAGTTAATCCCAAATAGAATATCCCCCAGACTCACCACAGAGACATGTATCCCCCTCCTACCCCCATACCCAGTCTGTCACCCATATGCTGCCCACTACAAACACTGAATACATCTTAGCCTCTGCCTGACCTCACCCACAGTGCCCAGCATCCTGCTGCCCCCTCCTGCCCAGCTCCCCAAGTCAGCACTTCCTAGGTTAGTTCCCTGACTCCAGCCTGGGCCCTGAACGCCTGGCTCAGACATCCAGTCACCTAGTCTTCTGGAAAGTGGGTGAGGGTCTCTTTCCTGAAGCTTGGACTCCACAGGTTATTTGGAGTTGCCACAGATTCACACTTGCCACAGAGGGTGCACCTCACCCCCACCTGAGTCACACCTCTACCACCTGTACCCTCCACTTCAGAATGCTGCCCCTGGACTACCATTCCCCTGCCTTTGCCTTTGAACTTTTTCATAACCCTTTGGGTCTCAATTCTCCAGACCCCTCTACAAGGACCCCTTCATGATGCCCTCTTTGGTCAAGCTGCTGTGCGATTGCACCAGAGCCCCCATTCTTGTGCATCACAACTCCTGGTTGGAAATTATTCTGATTGTGATTATTTGATTAAGTCCATCACCCCTGCCTTACTGTGAGCTCAGAGAAAACAGGGTCTGTTTTGTCCCCTGCTCCAGGGACATCAGGTAGTTAGTAAATATCTGTGGGATGATTGGCCAGACATACTTGCCACTCACCAAAGCAGTCTTCACAGAAAGGGCCTGGAATGACCTTAGGCTGGGGCAGACCCCAATGTCCTGGGCTCCAATACCTGGCCTAAGAAAGAAGGGATGGAGGGAGGAGCAGCTGTGGCCCCAAGATAACAAAGCCTGGGCCAGGCCCTTAGGGGCATAACTGGTCTGAGAGACCTGTAGGTCTCCTCTCTCTGGGGAGGCCGACCCTAAGAGCTTCCAGCCTAGTCTCAGGCTGCTCTCTGGTTGGTCAGCCACCTTCACCCGCCCCTGCTCCTCCTCCTCCCCACAGCCTGGGGTCAGGTCTGAAGAGACTTTGGTTTCAAGGTGAGCTGTTGGAGCAGAGGGCGGGGCTAGGGGCGGGGCAGGCAGGTAGCTGCCTTTTTGCTCCAGTAATCGGCACTCGGAGAAGATCCCTAGGTGGCTAGGCCGTGCTGGAGACATATCTACACTGCTAGCTTTGGATACTTTAATCATCTCTCATCCCCTCACCGGCTCCCTGTGGCTGGACCCTGCCTTAGAAGCCAACCTTGGACACCTGTTTCCCCTTCCCAGCCCGGATTCTGGAATCCCTTTCCTTTGAGCTGACACACCTGGATCTTGCCTTCAAAACCGGCCCCAGGGACTGTGTGTCTGGTGTCTGCCCCTGAGGCCCTCGTTCCAGGCCATGGCCCAGAGCGTGGGCCTAGTGCCTGGGCAGCTAGAGGCTGTGGCCATTCTGCTCTGTCTTGGATTATTCCAGTTGGGGACGGGTGAGTCTGTGCAGGGTAGGGGGAGTTGGGGGTAACACAGCTCTTAAAGTGGGAGCAGACATAATCTTTATCCTTGTCTTAAGAATCCCCTAGCCTCCCTCTCCCTTCTACTTTGGCCCTCCCAAGGAGGAGACCAGCCCTCCGCAGAAGTTGTGGGCACTAGAGGGTCAGAGAACTTCAAACTTCGGTGCTTACTCCTCCCTTTTTCTTTCCAGGAGCTGATGGGGCCGAAGGTGAGGCTTGCCCGGGAAATGGGGGAGGGGAAAAGGGAGGGACTTGGCTCCCGCATGTTTAACAAATGCCTGACCCTCTGCTGAGCTGTCCCCCCCTCTCATATCCACTCACATTCTCCCAGTAGCTCTGTGAGTGGGGATTATGGCCCTTATATTGTGGATAAAGAAGCTGGGATACAGAGAAGCTGCCACTTGCCCAAAGGCACACAGCCAGTAAGTGGTGTAGCTGGGATTTTTTTTTTTTTTTTTTTTTTTTTGAGACAGAGTCTTACTCTGTCACCCTGCCTAGAGTTCAGTGGCGTCATCGTGTCTCACTGCAATTTCACACTCCTGGGCTCAAGCCATCCTCCTGCCTCAGCCTCTGGGGAAGCTGGGGATAGAGGTTTGCACCACCCCTCCAGGCTAACTTTGTTCTGTTTTTGGTAGGGACAGGGTCTGAGCTCTTGCTCAGATTCAGCTCTTAAAGTGGGATGCTTGAGATGGTTTTGAGGGAAACAAACCAACTGCCTCCTTTTTTTGAAGGCAAACACTCCAGCTCTGGGTCAGTTTTTCAACTTTGGCTTCACCACTTACCTGCTGTGTGGCATTGCCCAAGTCCTGTCCCCTGCTTAAGCTTTAGCTTCAGCACCTCTAAATTGAAGCTGATCCTGTCTATCTCTTGGGGCTGTAGTGAGGATTCTAGGAGATAAAGAAAATCAAAGCCCCTTCAGGGCCTGGCACTGCTGGACACTCTGAATAGTAGCTATTGTCATGATTATGGAGAGGGGAGGAGCCTGGCTGGTAGTTCCTCTGCTCCTTTGAAGGTGACTTTGTGAAAGTAGTTGGGCTTCACTCCAAAGCGGTCTGGGTGGTGGTGGGGCTGGGGCTGGGGCAGTCATGGAAACCAGACGTTCACATTTTGGGAAGCCTGTTCTGTTCGTTTGTTCAATACATTTCTAGGACTCCATCGATACTGCGGACCTGATGATCTGCCCCCAGGGAACACCCTGATTGGTGTGGTTGAAAGGGACACAGCTCCAGATGCCAGAACAGTTGTGATTGGGCAGAGTCAGGGAAGGGGGCCCTGGGAGTTCAGAGGCAAAGCCTAGCTCAACCTGCAGGCTCCAGACAGGCCGTGGAGGGCCTGCCATCTGAACAGAGTCTCCACAGGCAAAGAGAAGTTTGCCAAACAGAGGAAGGATGGGGAAAGGTGTTCTAGGCAGAGTGACCTGGATAAGCAAAGGTCCAGAGGTAAACAAGTGTGTGGCTGATGCATGTGAAAACAGGAATTGTCCAGAGGGATGGTTGGAGTAGATGGCAGTGCCACAAAGGGTTTGGAATATTTCATCAGGGCAGCATGGAGCCATGGAAAGGTTTAAGCAGGGATGTGACTTGGTCAGAATTGTGGTTTATCAAGATCTTCAGACTTGTAAGAAGTGGATTGGGTGGAAGGTAGAAAGGCTTGAGAGAAGGCAGGCTGCCACAAGAACCAAATTAGGTAATGATCGGTGGGCAGCAAGGGGCAGAACTGCCTACACCTGGTGAACCGTGGGATTATAACAAAAAGAGAGGCTGACTTCTGTGAACCCACTTCCCAAGCTCTAAACCAGAATGCCTGGCATATGTGGGAACAGTGGGGCTAAGGATCTGACTCTACTTCCCCTTCTTCCCTGGACAGCTGTTTGTGGTGTGGCCGCCCAATCACGCATCACAGGTGGCAGCAGTGCAAACCCTGGTCAGTGGCCTTGGCAGGTCAGCATCACCTATGATGGCGTCCATGTGTGTGGCGGTTCTCTCGTGTCTGAGCAGTGGGTGCTGTCAGCTGCTCACTGTTTCCCCAGGTACCAGCTGGGTGAGAGGAAAGGTGTGGAAATCAAAAGTGAGCTGGAGATCAAAGATCATGTGTCAAGCTAGATCGGAAGTTGGGTTCTTGGGTTGGATCTAAGGGTATCAGCAAAGTCTGGAAGGACCAGTTAGGAGTGAATGTGAGGGATCAGAGGATACAGGATAAAACTAAGGTACAATTTCAGGCCTCCCAAGGGGCTATTCTGAATCAGAGTGGATGCTACAAGGCAACAGGGATCAGGGAACAAGGAGAGGCCTCTGGGTCCCAGCCTTGGCCCTTCTGCCTGCAGAAACCACCTTAAGGAATACTATGAGGTAAAGCTGGGGGCCCACCAGCTGGACATCTACTCCGAGGACAACAACTTCATAGGTGTGAAAGAGATAATCACCCATGACAGCTACCGGGAGGAGGGCTCCCAGGGGGACATTGCACTCCTCCACCTCAAAAGAGCTATCACCTTCTCCCGCCATATCCGGCCCATTTGCCTCCCTGAAGCCAACGCCTCCTTCCCTAATGGCCTCCACTGTACTGTCACTGGATGGGGCCACACGGCTCCCTCAGGTAAGGTGGTGCACGAGATGTTGAGTGGCACAGAGGGGAAGCTCCACTGGGGATTAGAGGCCCTGGGTAAGCATCTCCTGCCCCCACAGTGGGCCTCCTACCCCCCAGGCCACTTCAGCAACTTGAGGTGCCACTGATAAGCCGTGAAACCTGTAACTGCCTGTACAACATCAATGCCAAGCCTGAGGAGCCTCACTTTATCCAGCAGGACATGGTGTGTGCTGGCTATGTGGAGGGTGGCAAGGATGCCTGCCAGGTAAATGCAGGAGCCCTGGGAGTTGGGGGAGAATTTGAGATAGTGCCTCTTGGGAGATGAGGGCTGGCATGGATGACCAGGGGCTGGGGCCTGCTCCTGACAGCTGCAGTATGGCTTTTCTTCACAGGGTGACTCCGGAGGTCCACTCTCCTGCCCTGTGGAAGGCCTCTGGTATCTGGCAGGTATTGTGAGCTGGGGTGATGCCTGCGGTGCCCCCAACAGACCTGGTGTATACACTCTGACCTCCAGCTATGCCTCTTGGATCAAATACAAAGCAGGAGAACTCCAGCTTCATGTGGTGCCTCAAGTCCAGGAGTCCCAGCCTGATGGCAACCTCTGCAAAAACTCTTTGGCCTTCAGCTCTGCCCCAGCCCAGGCCTTACAGGGGCCCATCCTTCTGCTGCCCCTGAGCTTGGCCCTGGGCCTCTTGTGCTCATGGTACAAGCACTGAGCTACGCACCCTGGAAGCTGCCCTTGTTTTCAGGGCTGATTCGTCATACTCAAGGACATGTGCCTGTTCCCAGGAAGGAAACTGGCCTCTCTCTAATGCCCTCTGGGCCTGAGGCCTCTGTGAGCCACTCCTTCCCAGGATTCTATGGGAGGCCAGGACAGCATCCTGATCTTTGAGGCTATTCCTCTAGGTTTTACTCTTTGAGACTACAATCCACAGTCAACAAGTTTTACTGCTTGTGGTACTGGCCTGAACCTATGGCTACCTCCACTTGCTGTCAGGACTTTAGAGTTCCCAAGGACGTTTGGCTATAAAAATGAGCCCTGGCTCCCACCTGTTTTCATTAGACTGGGTACCCATCCTGCATACTAAGGCCCCAATCTTGCCAAGCCCCCCTTGAGCCCTGACTCCTGGAATCCGGAGGACTGAGCCCCCACCGGTACTGGGCTGGGGCTTAGATCTGGGGTGAGGGATAAAAGGAGCAAGGAGTAAAATGTTTTAAGCACCAACTGGCTGTGTGTGTGTGTGAGAGAGAGAGAGAGAAGTGAAATAAAGAACATCAGCTTTTGGCCTCTCCCTCCTACCTCCAAAGTCCAGAGCCACCACCGGAATTTACTTTATTAAAAAAATGATGAAATAGGTCTGTACATATTTACAGGCTAGGGGATGAAGAGGCTGGGGTCCAGCGGGAGAAGCAAAGGCTGTTCACTTCTTGGAGAGTTTGACTTGCTTGTGCTTGGGGGGTGCCCACTTGAGGCAGACAGAATCCACTGTGGGGAAAAGAGATATGAAAGGCAGGGCTGGGCCTCCAGCCAGGCCTGTACCTGGCTGCTCAGCTCTGGGCCCAGGCCAGGTTTCACCTCCAGGTAAGAACAAAAGGGCAGACTGAGTGGGGGGAAGGTGAGCAGGGAAGCCCAGAAATGAGCAGTCTGCCCCAGGCTCTATCTGAGGAGCAGGTCTGACTGGTTTGGGATATGACAGCAAAAAAGGAGGCCTTTGCTCTCAGCAGGCCTTACATCTAGCCCCCATACCCCCCATGCACGAAGAAGCCCCCACCCACCCACCTGTGATGGGTGGTTTCTTATACTGGGCACTTTTAAGGTGTTCCTCTACCAGCTTGGGTGTGACACAGATCACGTGCTGGCCTTTCCAGTACTTGACCATATTGAGTGACTGTAGGGTACTGATGATGTCATTCTGGGTGATACTGGTCATCTGGCTGCAGAAAGGGATTAGAACAGATGTTGGAGATAGTACCCCTGTGGGGTCTGGTTGGGAGAGCAAAAGGGGACAAGGATATAAGATCATAGCCAATCTTAGGAGAGCCCTTGAGGGTTCTGGGATACCTCCCTCCCAAGGTCTTTGATGGACAGTTTGCCTTGGACATGGCTGGAGCTCAGGGCCCTCACCTAAGGTCCTTGATGGATAGTGTGCCACGGAAGTCTCGCAGGATCTCCAGCAGGACCCATGACCAATAGCTGCGGTAACTAAGTTTCCCTAGGTCAGACAGTGGCTTCTCTGGGGAGCCCACTGTGCTTTCTAGCTTGGAGAGCTCATAACCTGCCAGTGGTAGAAAGAGGACCTCAGGATCCACCCCACCCTGGTACCCTTGCCACTACAGGTGTCCCCTTCCTAGACATGCCAGGAACCAACCACTCACTGAAAGCAATGAGGAATTTTCCATAGCCGCGGCGCTGGTAGGGGGGCAAGGTGAGGATGCAGGCCACATTGTTTCCATCTGGAGATTCCTTCTCCTGCAGAGGGTAGCTGCTCAGGACCTCCAGGGAGGCTCAGCCCCTTTTCCAGTTTACACCCCCCACTTCCCCAAACCTGAGCTTCTGACCCAGCACCTTAGAAAAGTAGCCAACGATGTGGGCCCCTTGCCTGTCCACCTCAGTCAAGATGTAAAAGACGAAAGGCTCCACGTCAAAGTACAACGTCTTGTGGTCCAGGAAGAGCTTAGCCAGCAGACACAGGTTCTGACAGTAAATCTGAGGGGTGAAGGAGGTAGAAATAGGCTCAGGGAGCAAGTACAACTCCTATGACTCCCTCACTCAACTTGGGCATGAGCTGTCACCCTGCTCTGCAAGTGCCAGGCCAGTAGGAAGAGAGCTCCTCACCAGAACAGTAGTATTTAGAACAGGAAGAAATCCTTTTTTTTTTTTTTTCTGAGACAGAGTCTCACTGTCCCCCTCAGTAGAGTGCTGTAGCACCACAACTCACAGCAACCTCAAATCCTTGGGCTCAAGGGATCCTCTTGTCTCAGCCTCCCAAGTAGCTGGGACTACAGGTGCCTGCCACAACATGTGCCTATTCTTTAGAGACGGGGGGGGGGGGTCTCGCTTTGGCTCAGGCTGGTCTTGAACTTGTGAGCTCAGGCAATCCACCTGCCTTGGCCTCCCAGAGTGCTGGGATTACAGGCGTGAATCCATTTTTGATGGAGAGGGAAACTGGAAATCAGAGAGCTAGTAGCAATCTGGGAGATAAAGACAGAGCAGGACTGGTCATGGTTATCACTGCTGAGTGCTAAATACAGGCCAGGAGCCTGTTGAACATGCATAATCTGTTCAACATCCACAGACATTACCTCTTAAGTTTCCAATCAGGAAACTGAGCATCTGAGGAGATAAGTGGCTTGCCCAAAGTCCCAAGCTGGTGAGTGTCAGGCAGGAATTCAAATTGGTATATGAGTTCTGTCTAGTTTAAAGCTATATCCCCTAGCACCTAGCACAAGGCTAAGCAAGAAGCTGAGTGCTTGGTAAATGTTTGCTGAATGGAATAGCCTTGAAGCTGACTCCAAAGCTTGAGCTCTGTCTGCCAGCTCAGCTACCATCCTTGGCTGAACCTCACCAGTTTCCTGGCTATAGACCCAGAGACCAACCAGAGCCAGGAGAGACAAATGGAACCCTAAGTTTGGCTTCATGACAGATTAAGGAGCTCTCTGGTTTAGGACACCCTTTCATATTGACTCCCTCTTTGACCTGCAATTGTATGAGCCCAGCACTGCTAGCCCCATTTTACTTTGGAGAAAACTGAAGCTCTAGGAGAGGACGTGCTTGCCTAAGGCCTCAAGCTGGCAGAGGGTAGAGGCTTATCCCACATCTCTAGCAAGAGCCCTTTCTGCCATTTCACCTGTTCATGCTCAAGAAGGCAGAGCAGCAGGCGAGTGCTGGGCTCAGAGTGAGTGTTCACCAAGTACAAGGCCAACTGAGCCTCGGCAGGTCACCGATAATAACCAAAGCCATTGTTTACTAAGTGCCTACTAGATGCCAGGCTAAGTACTGACGTTTGCTGTCTCATTTATTCCACCAACACAATTAGGTAAATACTATGACTCCTATCACAGGGACAAGGAAACAGGAATGAAAAATGTTAAGTAAATTGTCTGTGGTCAATAAGGAAGTGACAAGTGACACTGCAAGGCCTGCCTTCGACAGCCAGACACTTGGTGAGACCTACCCAGACTGACCAAGTAAAGGTCAAGTTCTCAACAATGGCAAAGCAGGCTCCAAAGGCCCCACCCTGCCCCACTGAAATCATTCCTTGAAGAACAAGGAACTCAGCTCTCACAAGCTACAGAGCTCTCAAGGCAGTAAATCTCACACAAAGCAGTCCCCTCCCAGGCAAAAACAAACACCTCTCCTTCAAACACAAGGGGAAAGCTCTTTTAACAGCAGCCTCAGGCTAGACAATATCCTCTCTGGGTTTCAGAACTACCCAAGCTAGAACTAACCCCAACAGATGAAAAGTTCTCAGGGATATAAGGGAAACTGGCCTGAGGCTGACACTGCCAAGCAAAGAGTTAACCATGCACAAACCACAAGCCAAGTGCTATGCTAGGCAAGGCAGCATCACAGGTCTTTTTCTTATAGATGCTTACCTTAAGGCTGGCCTTGCCTTTTCTAGGAGGTGCTTAATGCTTCTCCCATCCCTGCCCAAAGCCCCTTGGCTACCAGCTCACCTTGTGATCTTTGCCATCCACCTCATACACAGAGATGTTGCTCTTGCGATAAATCTCCTTCCCTGGGGGTTGCCGCCACTGACACTGTCCCTAGTGGGTGGTGAAGGGGAACAGAGGCTTCAGACCCATAGGTTCTCTCCTTGGTGCCCAGATACCCCATCACTGTGTGACCTGGAGCAAGTCTCTGCCTCTGTTTCCCCTACTCAGTACTTCACCTATATTGTGTAATCCTCCCAGAAACCTTAGGAGACATCCTATTTTACCAAGGCATGGAGAGGCTAAGCAACTTGTTCAAATATTACACGGCGAGATGGTTTCACGTCGACATCAGCCTGGCCACTGACACTGGCTTTCTAAACCGTATATATTTACCTCAGATTCCCATTCCACTCTTGGGGAAACAGTCTGCTGTGCTAGTGATGAGAGTGCCCCCCATTCCTGGCAGCCCCCATGAACCAATCCTTCCCATCTGTCCACACCTTAAGGTCCCATTGCTCAAGGGCTCTGTTTGCTTCCTCTTTTCCACCCAGGAGCCTGGCAATGAGATTGCCTTGGTAAACATGTGATAAAGGGCAAGGGACCTGAGCAGGTAGTAAAGGCAGAGATTATTGGCCCCATTCCAAGAAAGAGGAAAATGAAGTCTGGAAAGGAGCAGCAAGTTGGCCAAAGTCACCCTGCCAGCAGTGGCAAAGCCAGGCCTGGAATCCAGATCTCGTGACCCTTGGGCAGCTCTTCCTTGCACTCAATTGCTCTGAACCTGGTGCTGGACCTGGCTCAGCTGCCCTCAGCCTTGATGCCTGCCTCTCTTACCAGGCCCGGCATAGCCCAGCCCAGCCCAGCCTTACCAAATGGAAGCGGTAGCTCTTCTCATATTTCATGTACTTGAGGCAGTATTCGCAGAGCCAGAGCTTGGGCTGTTTCCCATAGTCTTCAGGGAATGGTGAGAAGTACCAGGCATCAATTTCGTAGTTCCCGATGTGGATCTTGTCCACATACTTCACCTTGGTGATCTGCAGGTAGGGTAGTAGAAGAGACAAGGAAGGAAGGAGCAAGGAAGGAAGGAGGGAGCAATGACAGTTAGGCCCCTGACCCTGCTTACCGCTTCATGTTCCTTCTCCAAAGCTGCTGTTGTGGGATCCATCTCTGCATAAGTCTGGGAAACAGAAGTGGATAGAGGTGAATAGAAG